CCCCCATTTTTCAGCAGCTGGAACTGGATTCACAGTAAACCTCCACGCAAATTTCAAGGTAGTAAGGAAAGTGTTGTTCTGACATCCTCAGTGGATTTTGGTTTAGTGATCAGCTGATCACATGGATCACATGAACCATGTAGTGATGTTTTGTGTCATACCTCCTAATTGGTATTTCATTTTACACCCTAGTGGTCAAGAACTTGTAAGGCTATCCAGCAAACTTTGATGTTAAAGCCCTTAACTTAGCTTTGAAAATGAGATTTAAATTTTAAAATTCCTCTCTCACTTTTCACAAGTATCATTAAAACTTCTGCCTGTAGGTCTTACTCTAGGATTCAGAAACTGCAAGTCCAGGAGTTTCCAGAATTTTCTTTAAAAAACTCCTGTCCTTAAGGTTATAACTGATGATCCATACTAAATGAAAATATCATATTTAATAGAAAGCCAACGATCTCAAGTCATATTGAGTCAGAATTTTGAGGCACAAAACCTTACATACACACATATTTTTTTCCTTCACGTTCCTCTAAGAGAAACTTTACAGCGCTACAAGATGGAACCAATTTACATACAGTTTATACACATGGATAAGTATCCATAATAGTTTTAGAATCTCACACAAAAAACTTGCTGTGTAATCTATGTAGTATGTAATTATTTTTTACTTTTTCTCATTTGTATTGTTTCAGTTGGAATTAAAATAAAAATTTTGGCATATGCTTGGGCATCCGGATGGGTGACAAGTGGTGAAAAGGATAACAAGTATCATCTGGTGACTTACAGTTCCAGTTTCTAACTACACTAAGGCAAAGCAGTCTGGTAACATGCTTTTGCTGCTTTGCTTGGAAACAGAAAAAGATAAGAGTTTATCAAGTTGTACATTCTTTCCTGTGCCAAGGCAAGCCTGCTACCAGCAGTACAATACCTAACGGTTTGGTCAATATAATCTCAAATAATTAAGGAATGGAGTTCCTATTAGTTTGCTGAGCAGCATGGAGCTTATTCTTAGGGAAATTTTCTTTGGTCATCAGCTTCAGTTTTCCCTTGCTTAAAAACAAATGATTACTCAAAATTCTGCTGCCAGAGAATCATCCACTTTAGCTGGGCTACCTGTGTCCAGTATTACAGACCTTTTTACTTGAGTCACTGACACAGCCTCTTCAAGCCTTTTAATTATTCCGGTGCTGCTGCTCTCTGAAATTCCTCTGTGCTCTTGCCATACCTGCAGTACTAGCACTTACAACAAGCAGTCACCTCTTCGTACCTCTGGAGTAAAAGTGGCTGGCTTTGTCTCTTCATCTGAAGTACCAGAGACTGCTCAGTCATTGAGCTTTGACTCCTCAGCTGTCAAGAGCTTGGACTTCTCTGAATCGAATGATGACAGAAGGAGGGTTTTTTCTTGCTGTTTATATCATAAGGTTTTTACAGAGTAAGTCTCAAAGTAAAACTGAGTTTGCCCTAGAGCTTTACAAATCATTATTTCTGTCACATCTGCTTTGATGAATTAATAACTAGGATAAAACCTCACAACAACTTGCTTTTTAATTCATGCTTCCAAACGTACAAGTAAACTCATTTTAAATATACACTTTTTGTCCAAAGTATCCCTGAGATATGACAACGTAATGCTTCAGGGAATGTGTTTCTCCCACAGGTTAGAAGCAAAGCAAAGCATAGTTTTGTTTTATCCAGTTATGTAATAAATAATGTGATGATAACAACCTCTGCTCTTGCATTTTCCTCCTATATATACAGGGATCAAGGGAATACTGTCGTCTGGAATTATTATTTGCAGCAGAAATCTTGCATGGTCAGTCATACTTTGGGAGCCCTGAAGGTAGTATCTGTTGCATAACTAATATGATTTGACAGGCACAACTGCACTCTTAAAGCTTATGTAGAAGTTCTATGGCCATAAAGCTAATTAAGAACTGAAGTGAATTACAACTATATGAAAATTATTCAGTTGATTGCACTGTTTTTATACTATACTATGATATCAGGGCACTAACAAAATTCTTTCACAATAAACAACCCAAGAAAGAGCATTTTATTTTTTGCCATCTGAATAAATACAATCTCAGAGACTATCTTATCTGTCATTTCTCTTTTTGTCTTAATACTTGGGGTATAACACTCAGTCTCACTGAAAAACAGCTGACTCAAAATGACAGCTCTTCATTTATACCATGTTTACCTTTGAAGAGAGGGCAGAAGCCTTGAAAACAAATTCAACAGAAATTTGTAGCCACGGAAAGGACTACTAGGGGTTACAAATAAATAAATAAATAAATAAAGTCAAGGACTTCCCCTGGTGAAGCAGCTGAGGTAGATACAGTCAGAGCAGAGGCTGGAGGGTGCCTGGGAGAGCGAGAGGCCGTCGGGACAGGCAGGCTGACAGCGCTGCCAGATGTGTTGGCAGCAGGACTGTGCAGAGGAGGCACACCACAGCTCCCTTACCATTAAATCTCTGCCTCTAGGGGCTGGCTTAACAAATGCTGCTTTCTTTGCTTATTGTTCCCAGGAAAGGCCTGCGAGGTTTATTTTTTATGACCTAATATGCAGAAAACCTATATAACTAGTCTCCAAGCTGAGGGTATGCCACAGAAATTACAAGACCTCCTAGCTGCAACGCTCAACTCTTCAGCCTGTGTATACAGTCCAGTACAGATCGAGTTGAAATGAAAATACAAACAGCATCTCATCATCCTCACAAAAACCAAACAAACGAACAAAAAGCCTACTGAAAGATAGGAGAAATTTTGTATAAAAAAAAAAAAATCTATAAAATTTCATTTCAGAGACACTGGGGAGATTCAGCTTAAAATCTCCTCTGGATTTTCCATCTTTAAACCACAGTTCCTTTCAGGAATGAAAGTGTGAACTAATCTCTGCATGGAGAAAGAATGGTAAGGCTTTATCATTTTTATTTTACATTCAACACAAGCTATGTCAACCAATCTGCTTTACAAATTTAGATGTAACTCATTTAACATAGGAAATGACTATCTACTACAGTTCCCTCAGAGTTTTAACCTTTCATTTATTGTGTTTTAATCCAATCCAATTTTGTAAAAAAAATTTGTACCTTCTTTCTTTTCTTATTATTTCTTCATAGGAAATACTGCTGGAAATTCTCCATGCTTTTTAAATGACCAAGGATTTATTTTAGCAGTTTTGCCATTACTAGCAAACAGATTTCAACCTTGATGACAAAACACTACAAAATTCTGAATATAATTCACTGTTTATCTTCTTACTACAAAAGAGCCATAATAATAGTCCTTGATTCTAGATTAGGCTGAATGCAAGATTTAAATATATGGGTTTGGTGTCAATCTTCTGAAATATTTATTGTTACATTTCTGCTAAAAATGAGAGTTCATTTGCACACAAGTTTTAAGTTGAAAAAAATGTACCCTGAAATACTGTATTGTAACAGGACCCAGGTAAAAACACGAAAT